GAATAAGTTACTAACTTATGGAGCAATTATAGGAGAATCGGTAGTGGTTGTCAAATTGTGGACCAAGTAAGTTTTGTGGTTGTGCATTAAGTTTTATGCTTTAAATTAAGTTTTATGCTTTAATTAGGAAGATCCTAAGTGATTCTTAACTTGAGTAGAAAGTTTAGGAACCTAGTTAGTGCTTTCAACACTATAAATACTAATGAGATGTATGTTTTTTCACAACAACAACAAAGAGAATTGAAAAGTTAGGTGTTCAAGCTTTCTTTGCTCCATAAGATCTCTCCCCTCAAGGCGTTCCTTTGCCTCTTTTACTTGTTTCAACATAATTTCGATAGAGGGTCACATCCAGCATCCTAAGGATGAATGAGTGCAAGACTAAGCCACCATGATCCGCCTTAGAAAGACCTAGACATCACGGTAACTATATACAACCGAAGTAGCCCGCCGGACTTGAGCAGCGTGGATAGTGTTACGAGAGCCTTCACTTCCCTCTACCCTTGAGAATGAACTCTGATACTAAGATCGTTAAGCTAGGCAGAGCGGGATAGGATTGATAGCTTCAATGTCATTTGGGTCACTATTGATAGATCGACCAAGACAACCCACTTCATTTTAGGTAAGATCACTTACCGAGTAGACCAATGGGCCCAGTTATACGTAAAAGTGATAGTCCGCTTGTACGGTGCGTCAGTGTCCATTGTGTTTGATCGAGATACTAAGTTTACTTCTAATTTCTGGAAATATTTGCAAAAGACGGTAGGAACGCAACTCAAGTTCAGTACAACGTTTCACCCTTAGAACGACGGGTAGATAGAGAGGGATGAGCATGTGTTGAGGGCATGTGTTATAGACTTTACAAGTTGCTGGGATGAGCACCTGGCCCTTATGGAATTCACCTACAACAATAGTTATCAGGCGACTATTGAGATGACACCATTCGAAGCTTGGTATGGGCGGAGGTGTAGAACCCCAATATTTTGGGAGGAGGAAGGCAAAAAACACCTTTTGGGGCTGGAGTTGGTACAAACTACTAATGCGGCAGTACAGAAAATTAGATCGAGGATACTCTTTGCACAAAGGACAAAAGAGGTATGCAAACTCACACAAAAAAGACCTCGAGTTTGTAATAGGTGATCACATCTACCTGAAAGTGGCCCCCATGAGAGGAGTGCTGAGGTTTGGGAAGAAGGGCAAGTTGAGCCTGAGTTTCGTTGGTCCCTTTGAAATCTTAGAAAGGGTAGGACTCGTGGCATACAAACTAACATTACCACCCGTCCTCGTCGTGGTGCACAATATATTCTATATGTCCATGTTGAGGAAATACACTTCGAATCTCACTCACATTAATGATCACGAAACTCTTGTGCAGAAGGGAGATCGTACATAGAGAAACGCATCAAGATAATGGCACATGACATGAAAAAATTGTGCAGAAAGGAGATTTCCTTAGTCAAAGTCTTACCATGGGGACAGGAAGCCATATGAGAACGTGGAGATGACATGAAAAGGTCTTACCATGAACTCTTTCGGGGAGGATCAACTTTTGGGTACGAAAGTTCCTAAGGAGGGGAGAATTTTAACACCTGAGCTTAGGAGGACAAGGAGACTGAGGCTCGAGTCGATGAAGAAGGAAATTATGCTTGGGATAGTTGTAAGATTATAATTAGGGGGGGGGGGGGGGGG